GTATAGGCCGCTGCACTGTGACGTCATATGTCTACATTTTTGCCAACTGGCATGCGAATGTCTGATGAAAAATGTCGTTTACCGATTTAGTAGTCCGCTAGTTGTTTGATTAAAGCGGGAGGGTGTCACCTGCGCACACGCGGGAATTGAGTCCCAAGCGACGATAACAACACACACTAAAAACGCAAAGACTCACGCTTTTTTGTAAACAATCACACTCTACGGCCATCATGCGCAGGTGACGACTCCTCCGCTTTGAGTTAAACAGGAACACATGATATGTATATTTGATATCAACGAACAAAGCCATTATTTTATCTAATGATGTGAACGACAGGTTCTTGTCAACCAGCCTGAGTCACTGCGCACATCCACGCACGCAAAATCTAAACAAATACGACGGCCTATACTTTCAGCTGGGAGTAACATGGCATTGATTAAATCAATTGATTTATAGGCTGGCCACAATATCCCTGGGTGATTTTTGCTCCATATCCATTTTTTAAATGCGGTAGAAATGTTAGGTGATGCACGAACTGCTCATACACAGCTGCTGATCTAAAAAGTAATAATAGCGTTATCAGATGGACCAAAATTACGTTTTTCAAAAACGTTATTATAACCAAAAAATGAGTCAAACCTATAACATTATTGAATGATGCATTTATAAAGTAAATAATTATGTTATAATGACGTTTGCAAAAAACAGCATAATTACGCTTTGCAATATCATACAAACGGTTTTTTTAAAACGTTATTATATCGCGATTTTATAACTTTATAATACTTTTATTTTTCAAATAGCATATATGTATTTTCTCTGGACACGTCACAGTGACGTTTGCTAAAAACGTTTTAATTGTAGTTTTAAATACATAATGGTATTACAAACAAAACAAAACACAATTCTTTTCAAGGTGATTTATTTGCGTAAATTATCATAATGCCATAATTACATTTTCAGTGATACATACAACTCGATGTATAAAGTTATTAAAAATAATAAACTGACATAGTAATATAACGTATTTTATTCAAAACAAAATATCGCCATTTACATAAAAAAATAAATTGTGATATAATTAAGACGAAATACGAAAATACGAGTTGTATACTTGTGTAATTTCCTAAAAAAAATCGTGATTTTCCGGCAACAGCACTCGGACATATCCTTTTCCAGCAACGTTATTCTGAAACACAAACAACAACAACAGAAATAATTTTCTCAATTTTTGATAACAGATTTTATGATGTCATACTTTACCCATAATCCTTTGCTTGAGAATCAATATGGCTGACTACATAATAATGATATAAAGTTGAATATCTATAGAGAATGAAAAGTGATATAAAAAAACTGTAAATTGCATTCTCCTACATTTGTGTACCTTTTCCTTCAGGGGTCATTATGTTGCTTAGATTGATGTTTCCTTTAACTATATCTAGTTAAACTTTGTACTTGAAGACTTCACTTTCCTTCAAGTTTCTCGATCGTCAATCATAACAAAAGAATTACTGTTTATAACGTTTCGTACAAATTATTCTAATGGAGAGAAGTAGCCTGCGTGTAGCGTTATCTCGCCTGGGTTACAGTGAAGCGCGATCTGCACAGAAGACAATAATTGATGGTTTTACTGACGGCCACGACGTTTTCGTTGCCCTTCCGACCGGAAGCGGCAAATCGATTGCATTTGAAGTTGCTTCGTTCTGTTTAGATGAAAAACAGTTTGGCACCTTCGAATTAGATAACTTGAAAACTATAGTAATTGTCATATCTCTTTTGGTTGCGATGATGCAAGAGCAAGTATCAAAGTAGCAGAAACTTGAACTGAAGGCGTGTTATTTTCATGCAAAAACGAACACTATACTAGACAAGTAACCTGTAGAATGCTGTGTGGGAAATATTTTTTTTTATTGATTTTTGTTGCATTTGCAGCAAATAGTTACCAAACAATGAGAAATCTATAGGATTGGACTTACCTCTCAGCTGGCTTCACGTGCATAGTGTGGGCAACAATTTACTGTTTTTTATGTCTATTTTCATTACCGAGAAAATTGACCCCAACGTTGGGGTAACTTTTCACCAATAACGGCTTTTAACTCCTCTAAGATTTTTTTTGGCTTGGCTAATTTTGTTCCTACAGGCAGGTCGTACCGTCACTAATTGGAAAAACAATCCTGATCAACAGCTACTATTGCAACAGCCAAAAACTCTTTTTTTAATACTTTCGCCCCAAACTTATTACCTCCTACCAGTCTTGTAATAGCAGTGTTCAAATGATCAAGCCTTTTAATTATTTTGACGTTGCACACCGGTAAGATATCACCGGCGCCGACATTGTTACACTGTATCAAAAGTAATCTCAGCAACTTTGAATGAAATGCTGTCTCCAGTCTAGAAAACACTATTGCAAAACGGTTGGAAATAATACATTTAACGGCAGTATACGTCCTAGCAATAAAATAAAGTGACTTCTAAAGACTGAATGTTTTTTGCGAACTTAGTATACGGTGCCCAGTTTCAGTCATAAACCATGTTAGCTTCACGTTCATGTCCTGCATTGGCAATAGCCGATAACATATTGCTTGGTTTTTTTTGAGCGGAGCGGATCGCCAACCAGCCTAGCGGCTTGTTTTCATTGGCAATCAAACTATTTTTATTTTGTAAACGTTTTTCGTCTGCTAAGTTTATCCAGTTAAAATCGTTCAGCAACATTTTTGGCATATTAGGTGTACATCACATGGAATACTACGATTGAGAGAACTTGATGTATGTTGACCGAGTTTTATAAACCCTGAAGGGCTCTCAGTAAAATTAGCGATTACCATTGAGGCGCGACTATCGAACAGCAAAGTATCAGGCGGTTTCTGCTGGCGACGTTGCGACGTTGCCCAGTTCCAAATAAAGATAACCAACGCCAAATGAGCAACATTTTAACCGGTAATCAAGATTCATTTAATCCATGGCTAACAAGCAACATCACAACCGAAGTTGTAGCGTGCAGCTCAGCGACGACCGCTGACGACGTAAGTCATCTCGTCAGTGGAGTACCGCAGTAGCACGGCATGTTTGCCTACACCATTGTATTCAAACGAATCACGTGGTGTGCCTTTCACTTTCAAACCCGGGATTCGATCAATAAGGGAGTTTCAGTTAAAAAACATCGCAAATCATGCAAGTTCAACATTTTCAAAAAGTATACTAAAACAGAAAGGCTCAACGATGCAAAAGACGGATAGATATTACTTTTCACTATGCACATCTCTGTTGATACTATCCCTCACATATTCTACTCCCAATTACTCCTGCGTAAAATGGACTCGCCTCCTTTCGTGTTGACATTCAGAGTAAAATCACGTGACAGGCTGTTAAAACTGGCTGTTGCATACTCTTTCGCCGGTCTGGAAAATATGTTTAATTAGCTCTCATTCAAGCAACAACGCAGATTTTCCAGTGGGAATGAAACTATTCGACTCTACCATTACAAAATAGGGGTGTTTTCAGCAAAATACGAATCACCCTAGAATGCACATAACACACTGAATTTCGTAACAAATCGTGCATTATTTACAGCAGCAGAATACCGCAGAAATATCAGACGAAATATGAAAACACTATATATTGTATTTCAGCCTGAACCCTCTCTATTGCAATTCAAGGATTTAACCCCATATGTGCTGAAGCGTTTGGTAACAACGTTCAGCAAGGTAACTCCAACCATGGACGTACTAGTACCAGTCCTAGAACGTCCATGCTTCAACTGGGTATTCAGCAGTCCGGAAACCATTCTAGCTCACAGAAAACTGTTACTCTCCAAAGAATACAATGTTTATCTTATTATACAGCGCGCACACCCCCACTCCTTTTCTGTATCCGTTCAGTGATGTTACTGCATATCATGAATAAATAATAGCAACATATTAGCTGCAAATAAGACCAGTCTGTGGCGATTTCGCGTTCACCCCACCTTTCGCAAAACTATTTTTCAATTTTTTAAAATTGTGTTTAATCCATTTGTTTTGGACAGGGGTGCAACAGTATTCGTCCGCAATTAAATTACGCTATAATAACGTTTTCATTAGAATATAGTAATAACATTTAACAATTACATCTTAAAAATATAACAGAGTGTAATTGACTTAACTTAGTGTTCTTAAAAAAAAAGTAAGCAGAGAATAGCTGCTGTTAAATTAAGTTATAATAAAGTTTTAGAATATTATAACTATGAAATAAAATATTATTTCAAAATAATTAAATTTTGAAAATGACAAGTCGTTACAAAAAGTTTTGAGAAAATTGTGATTTGAACTTAATAAAGTTATACTATAATAATGTTTCTGTTAGAGACCAGTATAATAGCAGTATATAAAATTATATTATCAATGTTTTAAAATAGTTCGTATGAAGCTTCATTTTATTACGTCATGTAAATATGTAAAATAAAAACAGTGATGTGAAATTATTTAATGATTGTCCAATACTGTCATTTAATTACATAATAAATACATTGTAGAAAATTACGTTTCAATGGCGTAATTGTGAAATGTTTCGATGTCATGTTTTTTCAGATCGTTTTTATAATGTCTCAAAAATATGATGCATAATTATAGTTGTAAACGTCATAATGACGTTTTCAAAAAAACGTATTTTCACCATAACAAAAAATAATGGTATAATTAATAATATAAAAACAAAAAAACGTAATTAATAATATCTCAATAAAATTTAATTTGATAACGCTATAATTTCGTTTTCAATCAGCAGCTATGTGGATAGAAGTAATTCCTCCCATTCCGGTTTGTGTAATCGCCCATTAAATCCAACAAAACAAAACAAAACAAACAAACAAACAAGAAGAAGAAAGCATACAACATCATTCAATACAAATACCTACACGTATTTGCAAACAAAATCGACAAAGTAACGCCTTATTGGCTTATCGTTGATTGTTCGACTTGATGACGTCACGCATAAATAAGCAGCACAAGCAAGACCCAGACACACAAGCCCAAGAACTGCTGCGTTGGTCGCTTTTTTTAATTGTGAATGCGAGTACAATTTGTCCTGTTCTCTGCAACAGTCTCTAGGAATTACAACGATCTGCACACCGTTGAACAGGTAAACACGTTGTGTTTAGTTCGAACGTAATTATGTTGGCGACTGCTGCATACGACGAAAATTATCACTGACGACGACTGGAGTAAAATACTCCATTAACAGCCAGTGATCGAGTCTAACTTGGGAACTGTTGCTATGACGGCATGTATCTGAACTCAGAACAAAGCAGTGGGGTATAAAACACACGGGGAATTTCAGAATGAACACGTTTTTTTCACGTGAACTCTTTGTTGGTCGACCACGCACACTTCAAGTCCGGGTATATTTACAACTTTCGCTTTGAACTAAATCAGTCATAAAGGAAGGTCAGCAGCATGGCTGCCGAGTTCACTCACCCGGACGATGACTTATATATATATATATCATTTATAGTTGCAAAGATATTTTTATTACAATAAGGTTGTCATATATATTGGTCAGACACGTTTTTTTTTTTTTTTTTTTTTTGAGTTGTCCAATTTTTGTGTTTGCATAACTTCTAGGGGACGGTCTTTATTTAGGGGTAGTCGTCGCAAAGCGTGTGATCTAATTTCCTGTAAACAGATATAAATTTCTTCGTTCAGCTAGGGAAAATATGAGAGGCGTAAGAACCGTTTCACTACAAGTCGAAATTATCACATGCCCAAGCCAAGTTGTTGATTTCTACGACAAATTTTGATTTTTTTATTCCTGTTCCTACGACTTTCTTTGGTAATGTATGTATAATAGAGTACATGGTCATGTGCTGAACGCGCTCCCAGCCAACAGAGAAGAATAAAGTATATATTAACTGTTTCAATTTAAACATTTCAGAGTTGAGATGGCGTACACACCACAAATGGATGCACCAATGTACACTCCTTACCCAGACCAGCAACAGGGACCAATTCAGCAACAGCCAGCACCCGTAAGTAAATCGTATGGTATGCATCTAATAAACAGAACAAACTACTGCCGATGTTAAAAGGCCAATGTAAATATAGCGAATAGATAAACTACCATTAGGGGGTTGCCCATTAGAAACGCAGGGTGGCAGAATTTGAATAACAAATAAAAATGTGGATCAAAAACAGAAAAAACAACATCTGAACACCTAAATCTAAGAAAAAAAAATGCCATATAGTGTAAAAAATACAGCAAATTTATCATGAAAACAAAAAATTACCACAAAACAAAGTGAATAAAAAAATACTTTGCAAAATGTTTCTGTTATTCTTCATAATGTTCCACCTCCATGAAAAGTATAAATACATGTCAGACGCACCCTGGGAAAAACGCATGCCGAAGAAGTGACCGCATTTTTCATTGAAACGTCATACACGAGATCTTTTATTCCGCAGAATGTTTGAGTCATATAGTGGCTTGCTCTCAACGATCCTCTAGAGTTTCTAATGACCACCCCTTATAATCGAATGTTGATTTGTGTTTATATTTGTACGTTGGACGTGCAATATTTCTGAATAACCCGAGTCAGGCATTCAGTTAGTTAATTGCCCCGCTAATTTGAAGAATCGCCAGCCACTCCTGCGGAATGAATAACGGGTTATTTCAAAACACCCTCATACTCAGACAGTGGTGCACGTGTTATGTCTGTGTTTTGCACCTAATCATTCAGCGAAGGCGATTCAGCAAACCAACGAAGCATTTAGCTGGATCCCAGGCAACAATGTCTCAGGCTGACTGAATGGCTGGCTAGGGGTATACACCATTTTCTTCACCATTTGGCTGTATATACACACCATCTTCCAATAATGTCACGTGCTAAAAGTTACTCCAGAGGCACAATTTCTCGAAAAAGAAAATTGAAAGAGGACAAAATAACAAATAAGAATAAACCCAAAGAAATCATCCAAACACTGACGTGTAAATGTGTAATATATATTGGGTCAAAGTTCACCAATATCATTAAGTCCTTTATATCTGAGTTGTTCACTAGTATGGTATACACAGTGTTTAGGTGTATGTAATTTGCGCGTTATAGCACCAATACCCATTATGTGACAGTCAAAGAGCGAACATTTGGCGAAAAATGTATACTATTTTTCTAAATGGTTCCTTCAAAAGAGAGGGGAGAAGAGAAGGTTTATTTTCAGACAAAACCAAGTGCTGACTTTTTTAAATACAAGATGTAATAGTAGACGCCTTTTCGCACTCTCCACAAACAGGAAAAATTGACCCCATATGGTGTCATATAGTGAGATAAAATGCGATTAGATTTCAACGCGACACAAAATGTACACATAACATATTTTCTAGGAAAATACCGCCTCAGTGACGGCATAGTACAATGACATTGAGAATACAGTAAGTTCAGTAAAATACACTACTAGTTTTTTGTTATATATTTTTGAATAAACACATACAACGGTGAACGGAGCTGTCGGGCACGGAACATTTAGCCTGGTTACCTTTCTATTATTTCCCATTATTATACTTTGTCCCTTTCTATACTAGTCTGGAAACGTTGTCTCGATTTTATCCCATTAATTATGTAAATTTATTCCAACGTCACGAAGAAAGGGGCAGCGCGTGCAGAGAACATCTGTAATATCCATTGCTCGGAACATTAACATATTCAGATTACCATGGTGTTACATATATCACTGTAATATTCACTGTGTTCCTTATTCACCTTAAATGTATTTTTACATGCAATGAGATTACATGTACAATGTGTTCGTAATTTTAATGCCAATGTCCGGCATTGCACGTAATACCGTGAACAAAACAAACAAACAAACAAACAAGTTATTCACTATTGAACTTTCGATCAGTGCTCAACGCTCCAAAATGCTTATCAACTGACTTTCCACCAATGTTTCATGGTTTTTATGATATTCGGAACCATGGACACGATGACAGGAAAGAATGAAATTTTGGGCGCAACAAGTCTCATGCCTCGTGACTTTTTGCGTCTGAAGTCTATTGTACATAGTTTTAAATGCAGCTTATGACCCCATAATAATAGTTCTTGTGTATACTTATTACTAAACTATGGATTTATGTTTGTTCAGATGCAGCATACGTCACACAATACAACTGTGGTTGTACAGCAACAACCACAAAACATCATCGTGCAGGGACCACGTGACTGGTCTAGTGACCTGTGCGCATGCTTCAATGATTTGTCAAGCTGTAAGTAACTTACGGGTAGTAGTAGTTTTGATTCTTGCGAACCATCGCCCTCAATGGTCCATTCTCTCTTGAGAGGCTTCGTGTTAGTCTATAATAATAATAATAATTTATTAATTAATTGTATAATGGTCTCCGGCCCATTACAATCATACAAATTAATTATTGACAAGAAATAAATTTATATTACAAAATATGTATGAAAATATAGATGAAAAGGGTGTCAATGGATAATATAAGCACTATATAATAATGTGATGGGGATATTAATATTTATACATACAAGGTTATTAGGTTATTCTCATTTGATCTTTGATTAAAAAACACTTATAAATAAATAGAGCTAACGAGTTAGTGTCTCGTGTTAGTCTTATATTTATGAAGTGTGCTTTACTTCATTGTATGTAATGTTTGTTTCTGGATTTATTGAATTGAATGTTCTTTACGCTTCTATAAACTATTAAAATCTTATAATGCAATTTATTACAGGTTGTTTGGGAACATTCTTCCCGCTATGCTTTGAGATGCATTTGTGGAATCGTATGGGCGAGAATGCATGTGGCCCGTGTTGCATCGTCAACTCCGCTTCAATGTTGAGAGTTAAGATAAGAACCAAGCAAAATATTCAGGTATGAACAAATAAAAGTATTATTTAAAATATTGTTGAACATTTCGCTGGTTTTCATAGCACCCTCTGTACGTATTATCGTCATAAGTAAGTTTTGTTTCATTCTGTTATATCACGCAAATAATAGTATGTACATATTTAATTTATCACTTGGTTCACATAAATTGGCCACACTAGTGTATCACATCTATATCGGTGTGAGGAGAGTATACCATTCCCCATTGAATGCCAAACTAAAAGTTGTTAGCACATTTCACAAAATACTAGTAATCTTACATTTTGCTCTCAAAAGTGTTGACCAATTGGTAATTATATCCATTTGTTCCAAAAATAACAATAAAATTGTCGACGAATATGTTATATATGATATACCAAGTACTGTGTGTGGAATAGTCTTACACTCACCGCCTATTTTGTGACATCTTTGATTAGTCTCTATTTTGACCGACCACATTCAAACTTTATACAAACATCATGTACGATGACTTACATATATACGTACTTTCATTTTCGTTCCATTTGATGAGAAAATAGCTGACCAAGTCACCTAAATAAATTGGAGCAGAAATATTGAAAATTTTATAGACAGTCAACAGTTCTTTAAAATGTATTCTTTCACGAATGCTAGCCATTGCAAATCACAAAGTGTTGATGTAATGTGGTCAGAATTTTTTTTACAATTGACGAGTCTGGCTGCGCTGCATTTTGTACACATACGATTGAATTGAACCGTGGTTCCGCTATGATTATTTTGACAGGGCACTCTCTGTGGAGATTACTGTATTACTGCTTTCTGCTACCAATGTGTTTTGTGTCAGCTGTCTCGCGAGGTGGACTTCGTCGAGCGTACTGGTATGGACGGTGGCTCTCCAATGTCCGCTACTGGGACTACTCACACCATAATCCAATAATGATGCTATCATCAGGACCAAAAGACTGAAGAGGCTTATTTTTTCTTTTGTCGAACAAATAATATCTGTTGGGTTATCGTTTTGAGATGACCAATACAAAGTTTCACATCTTCTAAAGATGTTGATCGAAAATAGAAAGTAAAATATATTCTTGGATCGGTTATGATAAAATATATCTACAACAGTTTTTTTAATTATCAAATTACTTTATTTACTAAGTACGATATCTAGTTTGTCCTGTTATGGGTTATATAACATGACTGGATAATCAGGTTCAGGTAGATTGGGTAGAGTAGGTATACAGTATATTTGATATACTCATGTAATAATCAATTTGTACTTTTCAAACATTTACATTATATAATATTTTCAATAATAAACTTGTTGTGTTATTTTAATATAACGTGAAGGCAGAGATGCGCTTTAACTGTCATTCTGTGTACATTCACTATATTTTGACCCCCTACAGAATATTACACTTTTGATGTGTAGATTGTAGCGTTTCAGTCTAAACTTTAATTTGGTATAATTTCATTCATATAAGTGTATTCACATTTTATGACAACCTGTACATCCCTGCCTTCCGGAATAGTATAGATATTGAATTTCATTCCATTCCTCATTCTACAGGTCAGTTATATATCAGCCTTACTCATTTGCATTTAACCATTTCATCGTCCGCAAAATAGTCACAAGTTCAAGATCATTAAATTCTACCATGTAGGGGGAAGGATTAACTTTTGAAAGTACAGCAATATTCACAGGCTGGCAGTTCAATGTTAATATTAGCAACATAAACTCTTAAAGTCGGCGTTAAAGATTATTACTATTGCAATCAACTTTATACAAGTCAGCGTCATGTTGTTTACGATTATATACGCTTAAATTGTATATTTCTATTATATATTAACGTTTCCTGAATTGAACAATCTAATAAACTGTCTTTCTTTGACCACTGATGAGTTGTCTACAATTTATAACTACCTAGCAAGACCACTCCAGACTAGTCTAGATTATACTGCACACTATTCAAAATAACAAGATCACTCGTAAATACGACGTGACATCACGGGAATATTGTATGATAATCCTTATTAAAATTATAACATAGATATATAGCTGGCGAAAAAATGAAATAGGTGGTCCTTACACACTTACCATACGTTTGTAGTAGCAACATGCAATATCATCTGCATATTTAGGTAGATGAAATGTATTCACGATATTATATTTGCTGATTTGCGGTCTTTGTCAGCATCTTTTATGAGCAGTATAATTAATATCCTTGAATGCAAAACATCCGTTTTTGTAAAAATAAGAGGGACAAGTCTAAAGCCAACAATGATACTTACGTAAGGTATATAGAGAAACAGCTTGGTTGAAATGTTAACAGTGTCAGACCTATTTCTCCAAATGGAATATGATTTGTAATTTAAACATATTAATTCTGCGCATATGTTCACAAACAAGTATATTTCACATTGCATCCGCGCCAGTAATTAACTAGAATTGCTGGGGGGGGGGGGTAAGGGATGAAACTGAGATCATCACTAGATGCTAATTTAAATCAAAGAAATCCCAACCTTTCGGCTTTTGTGGACATGCTCACCGTTCTACTTGAAGATATTCACATGACAATATACGACAATATTTCCAAATATTTAACGTACAATTATAAATCTTGAAATTACGCCCCGCCGCGCAACGCATTATCATAGGATATCCGAAAGTCGAGAATAATCACGTAAGCTGGTGGAAATTGAATATTCGAAAATAATACTCGAATATCTGAATGTCATAATCTCATATCTAAAAAAACAGGAAATATTGTAATTGTCTTTTTTATAATAGCTATCCAGCCAAGCTGTTCTATCGTAAAGATTTATATGTAATTCTCGGGGCTAAATCGTTTTTCTATTGCTCGTGTAACCGAAAAATATCCATTATAGTTCTTTACGATAGGACAGTTTGGCAATATTTTGAAAACACCATTATGGTAGGAATACCACACCATAAACCTTACACACGCGTCGTTTGCGAACGAGGCTCAATTGGCAGTACTAGTACGTTCTATGTAAGGGGTGAGTTCAACGTTCGTCAGGAACTTACTGAAATTTGCAGACACATTTCTGATTGTTATTGAGTTGGTAGCAGCTCTTGTCCGCCGTCTATGCCGTCGAACCAAGACTGCTGTTAACTTACAAATGTTATCAAAAATATGCCGAATCTTTATGCCAAGCCACCGATGGTTTGGTAACATCATATATATTCCGTAATACCTACCCAGCAGGATTAAAAAAATAACAGAAATGTACAAAATACCCCAGCCAAAAATGACCGTACAACAATCTCTCCGCTCTATTAACGTTACACAAACACGCAACCCCCAAATGTGAGGTGAAACAAGACGCTTGATTTGTTGGTAAACAGGGCCCGTGTAATAGAAAAGGTGTGTGTTTACAATGGTTAAACACTGCGAGAGGGTCCGGCAATGAGAACGGAGAGTAGTTATATTGTCATATGTTTTGTTCAACATTTGTGTACTTTGTAACATTTTACAACATTTGTAACTCGATGTTCTGTGAACTCTTAAGAGAGTTTACGAGTTTGTGAGGACAGTTCGTATCTGTTCCTGTAATTAGCGCCATAAAACGTCAGGAAAGATAGAAGTGATTTCAGTGTCTGGAAACGTCACCTGGCACTAAAGTATGAAAATATATACAAACACTGCACCTCTTTCAGCTTTTCAGCAACCCTTGGTAAATACCCCCTCCACTTATATCCACCGAGTAACGACAATTTTTCAGCTGACCATTTATACATGGGCATTAATTAGCGCCCTCTCTGATTCTGGCTAGTAAACTCTGTTACAATAAAGTAACTAACATAATGCTTCGAATAAACAGAAACATCCACCATAAAATCCCGAATGGAGTATGGTGTACACAATTTAGTTTTTGAAACTGAAATAAGAAAGCTTCTAAAATAAGTATCTAAGTAAGACAGTAAGCCACAAGACATGACACAAATGTTATTGTTTTTATTACAATTGGAAATTTAGGAAAATAAAAAAGGATCATTACGATGTATGTGTAACGTACTTGATCATAAAAATGTAAGAGCCAGGGATGATACCACTAATCAATTTAAATGCCTAGCAAGAACCAATGAAATTTTTTAAATTTGTTTTTTCTCATGTGTTCCCTGTTTGAGGGCGTAATCACCTGGGTCAAAGGTGAGACCAACATGTGGTCTTTTGTTTACTACTTAGCGGCTGTGTACCTGTGGGTTTATTCTGTGTGTATTTGGATGTTCTAATCTTGGTGTTTTTCCAGTGATTTCTTTAGGTGCAATCTAAATACAGTAGGTGTGTCTTGTTTACCTGAGATTTGTAAGAGTTTGAGCTGGCCAACATGTTAGTTTTTTTCATATGGTTGATTACTGGCATGTTGATTTCCCATTTTTGAGCCATATTTTCAACTTTCTTCGTCATTTTCATATAGCAATCTCGTCATATGTTAATATTGTCGTCCATGAAAATTCAATTAGTGGTATGAGCCCTACAATGCACTATGAATCAAAAACCATATATCGCGCATGAGCAGTGACGTAGGAATAACCCTACTTCCGTTTCGAGGTCGACAAGACGGCTACATTAGCAGCGAGTGACGAAAACGTGACGTATTGCATTTTTGGTGTTTACTCTGTACAGGTGACCAGGTTAGTAGACATACTATTGTCGCGGTTCTGGGATAACACACACTGTCACACACGACGCATGCATGAAGCCCGGGCACAAACCCGGTGTGGCGAGTTCCCCGAATACATGCACAATCATTCATTCATTCATTCATTCATTCATTCAGCACATCGACTGTGATTTAAACCAACCCGTTACATAGTCGTGCTTCCAGGCTTATGCGACGCCACGTTCAACAGCATACGCATTTGCATTATACAATAATCAACCCTTCTACGTGATTTAACGACCATGGTTGACATACCCGACAAACCAAGTAGATTCGCGTACGAGAACTCAAAATGTTGCACAACACTGTCTTTTCGTTGCTTGGTGGCGCTCGTCGTGAAACTGGCAGGATATTTAGATTACTTTTAATTTCTGTCACGTATTTCGATGGTCTTATTTCTCTGAATAAGTAGGAAATCATATTTCCTCTACTGCATTGTGAGCCATCTGCTAGTATATGGAAAATATTATCCATTGGCGTAATAAGAGGCGTGTAGTAATTCATGAATAATACGGGAGAACGATTTGTTATACACTACAATACAGGCAAGATGACAAAATTAGTAAACATCCGCCCGCATTTGTTCAAAGTAGATCCTGATTATTATTTTAGTATTAAAATTCGTTGCAATCTCTTGCACCGTGTGTGTAAATTTCTGTTATATTGTTATATTTGTCACAATTTAGTCACTTAATTTGAAGGATTGTTGGTATCAAAACATCACCTATCTCTTCTATAAATGACACGTTTGACCTATATGTGACACTGTCTTCATATGATATATGATTGCAGTCAGCTTGAGTGACACGTGACATTAATGATTATCAATCATTCGGTTTTGTTTATATCAGATTACCCAATACCTGTTTGGTATTTGGAATGGACCACTGGAAATGGAGACTTCTCTCAATAATCCTGGTCATGTTACTCATCATCAAGATCGTATTCGCCATTATCCAAGTCGTCATCTTTGTGGGTTGCATGATAACGGACGGTGCCACAACTGTGAACTGTCGAAACTTTACTCTTATTCCGTACCGCGTGTATATAGTACCTATCGCCCCGGCGTCCACCGTATTTGTAGGAGCACTGTGGATCGTCGTCACTTTACAGCTGGAGCAGTCATTTCCGACTTTCCACGACACTCGTCGGATATTGACGAAAAAGCTTTTCTTTTATAAAGACAGTTTTATCGTCACGTGTCTCATCGTCTATTACATCATAGTCTTCTGTAGCGACCCAACTCGGCCAGGAGCCTCGGACTATATTGTACTGCCTGTAGAACTTCTGATCACCACGATGTTAATGTACGTCCTAAACTTCAGAAGAGCGCCCTCTATGGAAGATAAGACTAATTATCGAGGCGTGTATGGTATTTACGTAACAATACTAGTTTCGTGGGCCGCTCACAACTTCTTTCATGTTTTAGAAGATACTATATACGTTGGTTTAAATATTTACACATTTTCAGGGAAGAAAATCCTTCATCACCAAAAAGCCTGGTTTTCCATAAATCTGTTATTTCTGGTCATTGCAGGCACATTCAGGTAATGCACGTTATTTTAAATAATATGGCCGACTGGGGCTGCTTTATTTTCGGTTAGTCATCTTGTCATGTCGTATTTTAATAAATGTAACTGACACTGCTCTTATTCTTTGTGAATTACAGATATCTCTTGGGAAATTTTTATCTTAGAAAGTTATCCTGTTGTCTGAAAAACAAAGAATATCTCATTTTGAGAGACGAAGACGACGATTTGCGTCTGCCGTATATTCCTTACGCTGACATTAATGACGTGTTATAGTACATTTGAATGACGCTCTGCTATAGTTATGTGAAAATGTAATTTGAAAAATGAATGAAAATCTAATAATTGAGTCCATTTCATTGTGTATATTCAGTCCGTGCTACTAGGGCGCAGGACTGTCTTGAATTTCATGATATGACTAACAGGCATCATGACTGACTTTTGGTAAACACAAATGGCCGCCGAGATCTCGCTGAGATAATTACCATGGTTACATAGATCGGGAGAGCAGTTAACGAGATGACGTAATTGAATACTATTTGAAAGATAAAACAAGTCTCGTGACACGTTCGCTCTTAACGCGATCAATTATAAGTTTTATTCATTATAATTATGAGTATTTTTTGAATTCGCTAATTTTGTTTTGTTCATATTGTTCGTGTTTTTTCTGTACATATCCTGTGTATTTTAGTTATTTAGATATATGTGTACAATAAAGTAAAAAAAAAAAGACAATTTTGCTTTCTGGCATGGGATGAAAAAGTAATATTACATTGTTAATATTAACGTGGTATTGTTCAGCAAGTCTTTGTCAAACACGTATTGTCTTTTGTATTGTTGACGCAAGATACCGCATGACTACCAAGGCGATGTACATAATATTGACCGACAAGTATGAGATATGGCTCCGTGAAAATGCATTCCTTCAAACAAGATGGCCGCCAGTCAATTATTTTAGATTCTATGGTGACAAAAATACACGTGCATTTGTCTGATATGTGTGAAATGTGAACTTGGTCAGTCAATGCACGTTAGAGATGTGAATCCGGAACTGCATTCTTTAGAACAGAATCGGCCATTCTGGACCAATCCGAAAATTCGGTCCGAGCCATCAAATTCGTCCATACGTGACAGAGATCTGGATTCGGATTGATGAATATGTGTGATTTTGACACATTTTTGGCCTTTAAATGGCTTTTAAAATTGATCGATCCTGGCATTTTATATATATGAATCTGCATACTTTAAAACAAAACCGACCGAAAAATAAAATGACGTGCACCAAGGTCCCATTGTGTTCAATGTATGAATAAAAACGATGAACACAGAAGTCCCCGCTTTCAAACTACGTCAGAACGGACTAACAAAATTCAAAAAGTGACATTCAATCTAGTGAGTTTGTAATGTGATAATATGTTTCTATTTTATAAAATAGAAACTACCCTGCCATAATGTTCATATGTACAGAAAATGAAGCGGCATTAGTGTCTTTTCGTTATATATATACTTGGCGTTATGTTTGGTAACAACAAAATACAATCGTTTTCAAAATATTCCTGAATGATGTGTACATGTATTAGCGTATGAATACAGTTGTTATAGAATTCCACAATAATTTATTTGAAATAAATTTCTAAAGTAGTAAGTAAATTTAATTTGTCTGGATCTATTTCCACGGAAATCGTTCCTGATTGAGGGAAAAACGCAGAGACTCGTCGTTAATGGGCAATTGTCAAATGACTTCCATAGCCAATGAAACAGGCTTTGAATTTTAAAATGACGAGATAATGCTCAACACCTTTCTATAAAAACCGTCGACGGTTTCATGAAAATGGTTGTAGCGGTTGTGATCTTTTCTAAAAAAAACGGTACTTTAAAACTATAACAGTTTCATCGGCGACGGATGCACACAAATATTTATTATTTCCAACGTGCTACATCTGGTATGTAAGACAAATGTATTTTATTGGCGATTGTGACTAGAAAGTCTGGATTAAAATAAAGCTATTGCGGTTAGTGGTTTAAAAAGACGGTGTTACTTTTGTCATCGGGTGTTGTCCCGAGGTTCGGTCACTGATTGCGTTTAACTGACAACTACGATATTATGGCATCAACAATCTTAACTTGTGTCGTTTTGCTCTTCAAGTTGAATAAAATACAAAAATCCAGGGCTATGGTAGTGATGCTGTTCATTGCCCCAAGACAATGCCTCACAGGTTATAATACCGCGACCGTTAGTTCTTAAATATCTTTCTGCGCCGGCACTACAATCACGAAAAAGAACGTAATCATTTTTGGAGTGGTATTCAAGAAGGAACGTAAACGATCTTTCGTCTTCGCCAGGGGTAACCTCAGGAACGTGTGCAGGCGTACGTGCGGGATCACATGCCTGCAAAACACAAATTATGAAATACGTATGTATTGTGACAGTTGGGATGCTACTAATCAGTTGTATGCTTTGGGTAGAGCTTAACTCCCACTAACAAATAATCGTGAAATTGACACATTCATATCAATAATATCTAAACATGGCCATGCAAGTCAGTAATTGTGGCAAACCAGGCTACATGTACTTAACAATCATTTGACTCTGCGAAAGTGATGTCGAACCAAACGTTAATAATTTAACGAACGACGGGTTGGAATGTTTTTGAAACTTCACGATTGATGTAAAGAAAATATTAATGAACATGAATTAAAAACAAAATAGTTATTTCGAGGAACTAAACAGGTGAATGAAATAAATGCATAATCGGCACGTTTTTTTATGTTGGTACAGTACAGTATATCGAAAGATTGTAAAAGACGAGTTTCGTTTTCAAAGATTTTAATTTACAATGTCAGTGTTTACTGGCTGCATGACGGTTTACACAAAGATAAACACATATCTTTCTCGTACATTACCTGTGCCATGATGTTGTTTTCTTTGTCCCATTTTAACATGTATATTTTAGAGTCGTCCGCGTCCTCAACTAATTTACCTGGCACTCCAATACGGCAGTATTCACTGTCATCCAGTGGGAAATCAGTCATTTCCCATGGTCTGTACTGTTTTGTAAAACCTGAATAAAGTATCTGGAAGAGAGAGGAACACCACCTGA